TCTATATATTTTCCCAGTTACTACTTCAACCCAAAATTTTTCTATTTGACACTTGAACATCCCCATAAGATTATGGAAGGGGTTAGATACATTATTGCCAAGTTGAAGAGAAGCCATTGAAACCAGGTAGCAGCAATATAAGAGGTATTATTTAATATTTCGATAAGAACTTGATTGAGTTATTATATTTATGAGGAATAATGCACTAAAACGAAATATTTTGTTTTAGCTTGCTATGTATAGGGATGCTATAAGATCCTTCGGAACTAAACTTGCCAAAAATTCTCCAACTAAGATGGATCCAGGTTATCCCCTAACTAATATTTTGCTCATTCATATATTTAATCTTATAAATTGTTCTTGCCCTTACAATGCTTTTTGCATTTTAATCTAGCTGAATGGTGGTAGATATATAGTAGTGATGCACCTCACCTAAAGAGGATAGCAATCAAGGTGCTCTTCCAAACATGTTCTGCTACTGGCTGTGAGCGAAACTGAAGTACGTTCCAAAGATTGCACACTACTAGAAAGAATCGACTCGCTTTGGAGAAGCTTCATAAACTAGTCTACGTTCATTACAACTTAAACTTCTGAGAGCGACAAATAAGAAGAAAGCTTGAAGACTATGGGCTAATAGACTTGGACACAATATTTATCACATACACAGCAGAACAATAGGTAGTAGAAGACGAGGAGCTAATGTTGCACAAGAGAGCGTTCCTTGATGCTATCGATGAGGAAGATATTGAAGAAAGTGATGAGCAGCATAAAAGAGGAAGCAGCCCGACAACATATCCATAATTCGTCGGAAATGTCGGTGATATTGCACCTAATGAGGGAGAGTGGGAAGGGACTCTAAAGGAAAATGAGAGAGATGATGATTCCGAGGCCACCCAATCCCAGCCAAATTATTCACATATCGAGTTCCAACAACAAGATGGTAGGGATGAGCACGATAGTGTAGGTGAGCATGAAGGAAGGACAAGCTTCGGGGATTTTGGATTATGACCACAACAAAACACTAACACTCAAGGATTTGGGTATAGTCAGGTGCCCACTAATTTGGATGATTCGTTTTTAGATCGAGTCAATGAATTCACGCGAATTCAATCAATGTCACCAGCATGACCAAGATGAAGAACGACGTCGTCTATCATTTTATTTTTAGATCGAATGTTACGAATTGTATGCTTTATTGTAGTTCATGTATGATGATATACTTAATCCATAATAATTCTATGTTTATCCTTTTATGTGATGTAAATTAAATGGTAAATAGTAGTCCATGCAGGGAAAGAACATATCAATATTCGCATATTCATGCAAAGAAATGAAAATTCTTAATGGAGTACACTCATTTCTTATTGAATTCTTAAAAAACAATATTTATAATGAATTTTAATAATTTTTTCAGATTTTTTTTAAGATTTAATCCGACTGATTCAACCGATTCCTAATCCGGATCGCCAATTCGCCAATCTGGATGGGTTTTTGAGATGCCCAATCCGAGTCACCGATCCACTTTTTAAACCACTGCCTAAAATAATATTTTCCCGTCGCATTTTTCAACAGATGATATTTCTTTTTTTCCTCTCTTTGTGAGGTCGCTCACCAAAGCTGAGATGGCTACATCTCTAAAATTTCAAGCCCTAAGTTCCATATTAATTAGGATTAAGGCAAAGCCCAAAATTTTACGTCCCAAAATTATCACTCTCTCTCTCCCAAATTTATCATGCTCTCTCTCTCTCTATTGATAGGTTGATCCAATATATTGGATGGGGTGTTATATTCTTTAGGGAGAATTATGTATATATCCGTTATAATTTCCGTTATTATCAAAATACTAAATAGTTTCTATTATTACTGAAATGTTTGTTTTTTCACTTCCTAACGAAAAATTTTTTAAAAAAAGACTTTTTTACCCTTTTCGGTTATTGAATAACCAAAATGGCTAGATTTTCGATTGTTCAAAAACCGAAAATACACAAATTTTAGTTCTTGAACAACCGAAGATAGCAGGGCTTGTTTAAGCTTTTGAAATACGCAGTCCTATTTTTGGTTGTTGAACAACCAGGTGTTGAACAACTGAAAATAGGACATTTTCTGTTGCTGAACAACCGAAAATAAGAATGCAAATTCCAAGCTTCTATCTTATTTTCGGTTGTTCAGCAACTGAAAATATGATATTTTCATATGTTGACCAACCGAAAATATGATATTTTTAGATGTTGAACAATCAAAAATGTTCCAATAAGCTTCTGGAATACGCAGTCATATTTTCGATTATTCAACAACTGAAAAAAAGATATTTTTGGCTGTTGAACAACCGAAAATAGGACTGCATATTCCAGCACGCTTCTGGAATACGCAGTCCTATTTTCGGTTGTTCAACAATTAAAACACAAGACATTTTTTTGTTGTTCAACAACCGAAAATTAGAATGCAAATTCCAAGCTTCTGCCTATTTTCGGTTGTTCAAAAACTGAAAAAAGGGTAAAAAAAAAATTTATTAAATTTTTTTTTTATGACGTGAAAAAAACAGACATTCCAGTAATAACGAAAACTATTTGGTATCTTGATAATAACAGAAACTATAACAGGTATATACATATTTTTCCCTATTCTTTAATTTGAATATTCATTTTAGAAAAGGTGTTGGATTGGGGTGATGTGGTAGCATCAGCACATGTAGTTACCACATCTAAAAAAACGGGTCCATTCTTACCACTGACACCCCAATTAACACTTTCACCTTCAAAATTTAACTTCCCCCTAGGCCCTGTCTTCCGCACTAAATTACCCAAAAACCAACTGAATTACCCCAAAAACAAATCATTTTTAGAGTAATTCATGTACACATCCTCCTAAAGTTCCGCTAAGAAATTCCTAAATTTTTACGTCATTACATTCGTAACCAACTTTTTTTAGCAACGTCCCTACTTTGGATCTTAGAGCTCCTGAGTTTAACATATGTAATAAAACACTTGTACTTATTCTTCGGTTGTTATAAGGCGTACAAGTAGTTCATATTTTAAAAAGCCAAGTTTTCTCTGCATCCAGTAAGTCACAAACTTGCAAAAGGCAAGAGAGAACTTCAAATTTTGAAAATCCGTATGTTCTCCGAACTTCGATTGTAAAAATGCGAAGCTTTGGAGGTAAGAGAGAACTTCTCATTTTGAAAATCTGAAGCAAGGATAGTACGGAAAAAAATAAGAAAAATTATACAATAGGTATGAGCGTAATATTCAAATTTTTAGGGGATACATTAATAACAATAATTTCAAAGGATATTTTTCATAAATTTCTCTTATGTTTATATGTTGAAGATAACAATTTAATAGCCAATATATCAACCTTTCAACCATCATGAATCAGCTAAAAAAAACTTCTTCTCCTCGATGACTCATTCAATTACGACAAAGTGGAATTATCGAGTAATCTCCTTCCTTTTGAATGATGAATTCTATTAAATTAAAAAACTACAGGCCATCGTATCGTAGCGAACTGCGCCCAAAGTCGATATATCAGCCAGTATATACGACATGGTGTTTTCCTCCCAACTTATTAGGCTTGACTGATGCAGTTAATCACCGTACTCAGAACAAAACAATTGTCTTGGCCCTTATCCAGATTGAAGCTTAAGGCCAAACACAAGAAAAGAAATAATGACTCACGATAGCTGATGTTAATGGAAACTTTACCAACCTACGTTCCATAATTTACTTCTCATGTTTTTGAAGTGGATCTTACGCTTTACAACAATCATAATTTCAAGCTTTCAGCAACAAATTACCCATCAAAGTGAACTTTTTTTCTGTTTAATTTACAAGTACTCATACAGATCTTGATGAAGCTAATTCAAGAAGTGCACGGAAAAATTGACGAGGATACATACGGGGTTGCTCTGCAAGGGCCTGAAAAGAGATCCACAAATAAGCAAACAATTATACACATCCATACAAGCATACGTGTATAAATGTGGGATTGTGTGATCATCGTATACCATTGAGACTGAAGGGCAAGGTCTACAAGATGGCTATAAGACCAGCAATACTTTATGGGACATAATATTGGGCGGTTAATAAACAACATATCTATAGGATGAGCATAGCTGAAATAAGGATGTTGAGATGGATGAGTGGCAAGAAAAGAAATGATAGGATTCAGAATGAATATATACGAGGGAACTAGGGAGTGGCCTCAATAGGCGATAAGATAAGGGAAAATAGATTTGGGCAGGCTGACCATGTGCAACATAGACCTAATACAACACCAGTTAGAAGGGACAATTTGGTTCAAGTGAAAAGTTCTAAAATGATAAATAGAAGGCCCAAAACGGCATTGATAGAAATAGCGAGAAAAGATATTGTGACTTTTGGTCTTACTGAGGGTATAATCCTTGATAGAGAATAATGGAAGACCACAAATCATTGGGATAAGGCTTGGATGATGATGATATAAATATGGGATTGTACTTCCAATTTGCAATGTCACATTTTATCTCTCATTTAACGAATTCAGACGACAACCTTGGCATAATAATCTCAATCGCGAATATACCGCCTTACATTGTTCATATCATGCATGGATATAAACAGCTCCAAAGACTGTCGGATGTCAACAATGGATTGGTTGGGACTTCGACGGAGTAAAGACATTCCAAGGCCATTCATTGTTGACATCTGACACTCCGGAGAGCTGTTTATATTGGTCAAGGATATAAACAAGCACAGTGGTATAATTTTCTCATCTGAACTCCTAACTCAAAGGAGGCATTTTTTTACTGAAATTCGTACCTGATGGATGAGGACTGTTGAAGGAGTCATTCCAGGCACAGTATTCACCTCAATGACCATAACCTACACATAGTAACAAATGAATTTCACCCCAGATCAATTATAGGTTTTGTCACTAGGCTACAAGAAATGATGCAAAAAACTGTGATTTTCAAACAAGGGGAGAATTTAGGCAGTTCAGAGAATGGGTTTCTGCTCAGGGTAATTGGTCACTCTCATGATATATAGAGATAATCATTTCATTTGTAGAAAATGGCTTTCTGGAAAATTTGAGAGTTTATGAGCTTGGTAAGACTTTCCCCATAAAAAAGAATGGATTACTTTATTGCCTTTTCCTCTTTGCTTTTTATAAATTCATCTTCTAAGAACTTGCATTGTGTGATTGAAGAGAAGAAAAAAACCATGTAAGAGCTGTTGCCTTTTCACAAAGTGAAAAACATTATATGAATTCCCATAGAGACAAGGATTGGTTACCATCCATTATAAAACTGACATTCGACTTAATCACCTTTTTCATATCAAATATTTACAAAGACAACAAAGCCTTTGGTTGCTTTGACTAAAATGATATTAATGTGCAATTAAACTATTCTTCAACTCGTTAAATTTTCCCAGAACCACACTTCTCCAAATTCTCAGTTATCTAAGCCTTGCATCCAACACTGAAATAGCAAACAAGAGAGAGTGAATGTCAACATACTTCTCCATTGTCTACATTAACAAAGGCATCAATACGCGAAAATCCTTCCAAGCCCAACATATTTGCTATGAGTTCAATACGCTGTTTGCATCTCTGTAGGGCCTCTTCCCTAAAAAGAAACAGTGAGCACATGACTTCGACGAAACCACAGTTGAAAATGAAATGAAAAATCCATAACAGGAACAACCAATTTCAATGGCTTATTTAGTTTCTTTTAACCAAGTTCAATTGCAAATTTATATTTGGATATCCTCCATTGACATTTACACGAAGCACTCAAATGTGTATCCACTTTTAGAAACTCAAGTCGGCCTCAGGATGTGTCCCTACATCCCCAGTAAAACAGACTTGACCTGCAACTTGTTAAGTTGATTCAAGAACTTCTACATATCCTTGTTATCCATTCTATCATAATTATAAGAAATAATAAATAAAATAATACCTATGTACATGCATGCCTGACAACAAACTAGAAATGGATGTATACATGCAACTCCCATGCAGACACATAGATTGAAAGGAATCTTATTGAATATAATATAAATATCAGATATAAATAGCCTTACCCAAAAAACATTAGATATGCAAGGCCAAGGACCTCCATCCCTTTTCATAAATGGGTAAGGCCCTGGTGCAGGAGGCTTGGCCCAACACGCCCCAGTTGGGTCAGCCTGGACCCCCGATATCAAATTTTATGCAAGCAGTGATGAGATTCGAATTCAGGATAGATGGCAGACACATAAAGGCTGTGACAATTCAAGCCAGCACTTGATTGCTTTCAATAGTCGATTATTATTTCGTATGTTATTTCATTGTGTACCATATCATACATTATCATAGTATGTAAATTTCCTACAATAATTTGACAAAAAATGGTTAAGTACATCATATATATAACAATAGTCCAATAAGTAACACAATCGTGTACCAGCTTGACTGGCTTTGATGCCATGTCCTATTCTATCCCACATTCAAATCTACCACTGCTTTTACTTCAAGCAAACTTATATAAAATAATATATGGGCCAGCCTGATTATCAAAACGGCCAAGCCAACATCAAACCCAAACCAGCCCGTTCCCCGCCCTAACACAGACATGAATGATGCTCATTCATACACCAGAGAAAGGAATCCACAAAACATTAATTATAAAGTTCATCAATCAAACCTAGATGGCCATTCAAGTTGGAAAAGAATTAAAGCCTCGTGAGAATATAAATTGTTTCTTGTTTCATAATTATTATTCTTTTTTTTTTTTTAGGTTTTGCATTCATATCTAGGAAAAGAAAAAGTAATTCAATGATTGACCAAATTGGACATTTCAAGATTTAGAAATTCCATTAGACATTCTCAAAAGGAAAACGTTTATATAGAGGCGAGGCTCTAAACAATCAAATTAGAGCCTACCTCAAAAAATTTATTAGAAGAGGTTGTTTTCATCCCCAAATATCCTCAAATTGAACATCTCGACATCAAGATGCATGGACATGAGAAAGAAATGGATTTTACGTTTTAGAAATAGCGCATCTTGTAATGCATTTTTGGACCATTAATTTTCAAGATTTTCAAGTTTTCATAGATCTGCTTGATCTACACTATTTTTGAAGCTTTAAATTTTATAATTAGAGAGAAAAATATATTTTAAGGCTATCACAAAGATTTTCAGTATTGAAATCATATTTCTCAATACTATTTGAAGGTGGGCTTCACTTTGATTGTTTAGAGCCTCGGCTCTATACAAACCGCACCCTCTCTAAGGTAAATGCATATTGCTAAGTCCTGGCAGTCTCGAATGAGCTCTTGAGCATGTTAGCATCCAACAAGTGACAGATGCTGGACTTTTTTATGTTTTCAAGCTCATAGACAGCTTCTTTCAGTTTACATCTCTCAAGGGTAACATCTAGATCCCTTTTATACCTAATAAAATTAGTTAAACAAATTTTCGAGATTATATTTTGAGGATTAACATGCAATTGCAATCTCTAGGAAAAAGAAAAAAAAATTATAGTTTTATCGATGAATGTAAGGAAGCAACTATTTTATGATGTGTTTTATAAGTAAATTTTCAACTTATTATACTTCTATGGGGAATAGGTCAGCTTGTTCTGCAAGAATGAAGTTAATCCCAGGATGTCTCTAGTTACAAATCACATGTTTCACCATCAAACCAAGTGCTTGGTTGGCATCTTATACACGAGAGTAGGAAAACATCATTTGTAGAATACTAGATGAAATTTCACATACCTGAAAATTTCTTTTGGGGGAGGAGTCAGATTGATGCCAGTTCCACCTGTGAAAGCAGCAAAGGATTGCATAAAGAGTACCTTACAAATTAATAAAGAAAATTCTCAAAATTTCATGTCAACTTTAACATTGAGAAACCAAGCTCAATTTTTAGAGCTGATATTTTCCCACACTGAAGAGCAACCTACTATATGAATTCTTTCTAGGAGAAACGCCATGACTTGGAGCACAAAATACGGAACAATGGGAAACCACTAATTCCAGTATCCCAAAAGTACATTTAAAAAGACAAGGGAAATTTAGAGGAACATTCATACCTTGAAATTTCTCCTCGAGTGACAAAATGTCACCAGATTCCTTGACGGTAATACTAGGACTCAAGGACTGCATTTCACCTCTTTTTCCAATAACACCAGCCGTAACTTCGATCCATCGACTATTTCCATCCCACGAGAGGTGAGGTTCGTTGGCATTTGATGACTTAAAGGAGAAAGTGATTTCATCTGTCTCTATAAAAGGCTCAAATATTAACAATTTAGGTGGAGGATTCGGCATCTCAATCACTCCATGGGCCTGAAGAAATCATTGATAAAAGAAAAAATCATAATATAGGATCAACGAAGAAAATATGGGAAACAGTTTCGAAAGTTTCTGTAAGGGTTATAGCAGACGCTTAATTTAGGATAACCTAGAAAGCAACATGTAAGAAAGAAATCCTTGGCTTCTCATATCGTTATTTGAACAGTTTCATGCTTTTATGAACTTTAAGACACTGTGCATCTTGACAAAAATCACTAACCATTTTTTAATTTATAATAGATCAATGTCTCTACTTTGAAAACCGACACATATAAACTCAGGTTAGATAACGAAAAAAATTGACAAAAACCACAAACTATCTAGGAGTAGATGAAAAAATTCAGTGCTGTGGGCACAACTCCATTGTTAGAGTTCAGAAATAAATAATCCGCACATATGACATTGTTTAGAGTTTATCAATTCAATGGTTAAGCTCATAAAAAAATAACTACAGCTATCCACCACAAATTACGGTTCAAAATTTATAAAAAGTTGGGGAATGTTTGATAAATTATTATGCAGTTATGTGTACTTCAGGTAAAGAACAACCTTTGACAAACTGTTAGGTGGAAGACGTAAAAGACTCTTCCGCAAGGCATTTGTATATACTTCCAAGTCCTCCTTACAACTGCAAGAAAATGAGTCGAAGTTTAAGGGACCTAACATATAAATTTATCTACAACAAAAAAACACATTTGTATTCCATCTTGCAGAAATTTCAACCACTCATCATGAACTAATGTAGGAGTAGAAAGGAAACACATATTGTAGTCTATGGTACACTCTATATCTCCCTAGGGTCATCTCTATCAAACAATAGGATGGACGGCATGGAGGGAATGGGACATGAACCCCTCAATACCCCAGTCTTCTCCATCACTTTCCATCATTTGGTTGGATGATGATGATCCCAATAGGCTATAGTTTTCCACAGTTGGTGTACTTCCCCAATTAGAAAAAACGAATGGGCATGTATGTACCATAATCGAGCAACCCCAGTTGAGCAACCATCTCGAGCTGGCTTCACGCATAATGTCTCAGAGTGAAGCTTGGCCGTCAATTCATGCCAAATATCAGGTAAAGATGAGTTTACTAGTTCAGCTTTACTCCTTACATCCTTATGTATGGTAAGCACTCCTGAGTTTGTCATCTGTTGTGGCCAAAAAGAATTCAAGAGTATTTCTAAATAAAAACTGTTTCACACATAAGAACATAAACAACACACTTTCGAAACTATCAAAAAATTAGCACCAGCATAGACAATGTAAGTGTTCTGATGTCGCTTTCACACATAAAAGCTTATACAAGTTGCCGGCAGGCTGCTTCCAGGTTTAACCTTTATATGACAAGGATAATGAGGACTAGTACCTTCCATGAAATTGTTATCATGCAAACATCTCACATTTAAGTTAATGTGATTTTAAATTTTCCAAGTGGTGCTTCTTAATTTGGGTAAAGTATACCATAACCTATTGGAGATAGGTAAATGGTACTCTGAAGGGGTATCCACCATTCCTTCTACTAATGGAGAATATGTTGACTGTACCAGATGGTCCCAATAGGCCCCAGTAAGGTAATATTCATGGTCTGTCAACATGAATGGAAGGAAGATGCCCCTTTAGGGTACCATATTATATATTTCATTGGGCTATGATAAACTTCCTTTCCCATTAGTATAAATTGACTAACTTTGTCTATCCGCAATATCAGCGTAACAACCATTTCACAGGTTCTAAATAAATGAAAGACAAGATTCTGAAATTGCCATTATGCCTTTCTTTCTTCCTAACAAACTAAAAAGATGTTTTAATCTGATGCGGTTGACTTGTTATGAGGGAAAAGGGAGGTCTGCGAAAACCAGATTGAAATTTCAAAGGAGGTTTCCAAATTTGTGGTAATGTTATTACAGTATTCTGTAGCTCATTTTTCTCTACCCGCACAATTGGACCAAAAAGACTTAAAGTTATAAGCAATAAAACATTTACAATTTTTGGGTAGTTTACTAACCACTGCATGCAATGCTGGATAAATGAAGGCCTAAACATGGGGCACCCTATGTGGTATCACATGAGTAGTTTCTTTCACTATGTTTTAGATTTTCTATCAGAACCGTCTAGGGGCTGATTAAACATAGTGAGACATGTTAGCAAATTTTGAACATAGCTTAACCAAAACCTATTCTCAATCTTGAATCTGCCAGTCTTGACTTTCTTGTAGAAAGTGGGCTCCTGCATATGTACTTAGCATTTGATAAAGGCCATAAGAAGCCACAATTAGGCTCTACATGCAAATTAAAAAACTAGAGATCCATTTAGAACACAGCAAGAGACAATTATGCATCTATATTTCAAATCCATCAAATGCTCTACCTAAAACTATGTCACATCCTGGCTTAGGTCTGGATTCTTAGTATAGGACATAAATGTAGTGTTCCAATTTGTTGGCCAACCTGGCATTAGTCAACCTGGCATTAGTCATAAAGAACATAAGCACTACTATTCAGATTTTATAACTACTAATGTGCTATGATATCAAGAAGAATGTTGCTCCAGCAAATTGTTTATTCAAGTTCTCATGAAAAGCAATACTTCTATTAGAATAATCTACTTAAGAATTGTCACAAAAGATATAACAAGAAAGCAAGCACTCACATATACCAGTGAGTACTGTTTTAAGACCACTTACATGAGCAAGGGCTAGAGAGGTCGCCACTTTATCCATACAAGTCTTAGAAGCCATCACACCAGGTCCTGAAGCAAGTAGCACCAGACTAAATAGCCCGCAGAAATGTAAATAGAAAGTTCCACTGATTTATAACATGGGAGTCAAATATTTTAAAGTCAAAAACCTGTATATGGCACCCCTGAAGCTTCCAACAACGATTGTAGAGTACCATCTTCCCCAATTCCCCCATGTACTGACAAAAGGAAATTGTCAGTGATTACTAAAAGGAAAATCTGACAAAAGTTATGAAAATTGCATGTCTCTTTCTCCCAAATATAATAATTCTTTTGAATAAGATCGTTTGCTGCTCTTATATTCTCCGTATGAATTTCCGATAAACTTAACACATTGAGATGGCCTCGTTGATCTAGGAAGCCAGATTAAGATTCTGTTCTGAAAGGGCATATGTTCAAAGCCCAGTCTCAATAATAAATTCAGCCCAGGATCCCACCCAGGGCTGCATCCTCCAAACCAAACATCATAGATATCATTTTTGAAATGCTATAGGAAAATGTTTTTATGATTCACCAAAATGTCCACCAACCAAGGAGTATCTCAATTACTCTCGAAGGTCAACGTGTACGTTAGATAATATAATTGTATTGCGTTATCTGGTAGAATGCATTATCTTCTTCTCAGGGATTTCAAAAATTGGCAAAGATGTTTATAAAAACCAATACACCGAGTGTTCAGATACTAAAATCCCTTTCAAATAACAAACATGTCTTTGATACTCAATTCTCTTCCCTATGGCAAAGGCCAGTGACAGTGGCAGCATACTTTAGAATATCCTTGCTTCCATCCCCTTTCTCTTCAACTTGTGAAAAAAATATCTTCTGATCAATGTAATTAAGCATTTTTGCTAACATATTATGCAGTTTATTCTGATTTTTTGATCAGGAAATATTGTAATCATTACACTCGGGAATTCATCGATCCAAATTCAAGGGAAAAGACACCATCACCATTCAAAAATCACAATAGCACCATTTTCTAAGCTTCAAATGAAATATAAAGAGCAACAAGTGAAGAGAGAGCCCAAACACAAAATTGAAAACAGATAAAGCAGATACTTATCATACAGAAAATTAGATAAGTTAGAAAATTACGTGCAATGAACACTGTTGCTTGAACCTCCTTAGCTTGGGCAATCCACTCTTCAAGGACATATCTCTTAGGAGGGGCATCTGATATGTCAAAACCGGAAAACCACTTATGTTTAGTTAGACCTTCTAGAAGTTCTACCATCACTTCATCCCTATATTTTGATGTCAATGCAGCCCTAACTGGTTCAATAGCCTCCATGCAAGCTGCAAGTACTTCCTCTGTAGTGTGCCGCAACACAACGGAATAACTACAGAAAAGAAGAAAATAAGACATTAAGAACATAGCTGGATGAGCAAAACGAATAGCTTTACCATACAACTAATTAGGAGTTGACGCCTATACAATAGCTATATTCATATCATACAGTGTAATGGCTCTTCAGTTGAATGTATTCGGTTTACAGCAAATGCATCTAAGAATAACTATGCAGTAACTTGGCAGGTGTAATCAATCCAATTAAGAATGACAAATGTTTGAAGAAAGAATGAACTTTGAGATTCAAATCTTGACAAGTTTCCACCCATAACAGAGTGTCAACAACTACACGCCTAGCAATAATAGCATAATCATCAGTGCCCACAAAACTAAGATTACAAAGACTTAGGATGCAAGTCAGTCTGGAATCAAATGCATCTTTCATGTGCGTTCGCAGTACAAGATTCTGTTCAGAGAACAAGTTGTCTGGATACCTTCTGGATCGAGTATACTATTGAAAATTATGGTGCTAAAAAATATTCACCACTCATTATTGAGTGAATTAGTAAGGATAGATGTAACTGGTATCTTTGCCAATACCAAATATAATACTCCTATTATCACCAGAAATACAAAAAACAAATACTGATGTATGACATGAAAGGACAGTTTAGTTCTCACGGTAAAGACCAAACTGTTCGAGTCAGATTGCCTTTTTCTTCACTTCCTTGAGATAAATATCCATTAGCAGGGGCAAGCAGGCATGGGGTCACTTCAAGCTGCAACAACCAAAATTCAAGAAATGGCTGTGAAAACTTTCATTCAAATACATGTGTGAACCACACCGTTACTGTATTAAATGAAACGTAACTTTTACTTCAAACAGCATTAACAGTCAATGCCTAGATGAACTTTACATTTGAACTTCAGAAATATCATATTTCCAAAAGATGCACAACTAGAATAAAAATCTAAGGGAATGTCGAAAAAACAACTCTTGCCAATTCTACAAAGATAGGACCAAAAAATTCTTTGGTAGATAAGTTATATTGTATGACGAACAAAACAAAAAGTGAAATACATGCATACAAACAAGAGGAAGCAGAACAAATAAACTTGTAACACATTAAATTTCTAAATAAAAAGCTTGGAGCACTCAATGAATTAAGATTTCCCAGGTGCTTTAGACTATTCATGACTCCCTTTCTAAGGATAGGATGAAATACATCTTCAAAAGAGAAATTTTATGATGTGAGAAATGACGACATATAGATTTCACAACAAGCATACATTTACTTCTTAGATAAAGAGGTTGGGCACTCAATCAGTGAAGAGTTCCCAGGAAGTATAGTTGTTGCTTTAGGAATCCGTCAACATGATAAATGGAAACCATTGTCCACATGGGGAGGAGGGATGTCCACCACAACAGTTTCTAGAGTAGGAGGGAAACCCAGAATGTGTAACTTCAATTCATAGACCAAGAAACACACTAGCAATAAAATGATGCTGAGTTTTAATATTTAATATTTTCCTTAGACCCAATGCATACAAGGGAATCCAAAAATCAGTAAAACAAGATAACCACCCTATTAAATGAAGTATTCTATAATCCAGTAAAGTATGGAAAGAGATAATCCAATGGTCATCCCCATCCAGTGAAATGATGGACGGTGATGAGGACAGAATGAGACCCACCAGAACAGGACATGACTCCATTGGTGGGTGCCACACTCTCTAATATTTGTCCATCATTTCATGGTCAGTGATGATCCCACTGGACAGCAGTCTCCAGAATCTTTTGGATTATAGAATACTTTTTACTCAAGGCAAACAGTCCCAGTACTTTCAGATAAATGAGTTTTCCAAGTTGCAGCAATCTCAGAGTTGCAAAGGGTGATATTTACATCATCAAAATTTTGCAAGTTGAGCCAAACATTGGTTCCACTCATAAGGGAAACTTGACGCTCTGAAGTTTCTCCACCAAAAATGACAAAAACTTTGTGTGTGCCTTTGGCCTTGGGCATAACATTACCACGTTGCATCTGCTGCATACTTCTAGACTGTGATTTCTGCCCAACATATGATTGGAGAGCATGAGATCGCAAGCAGGCGTGCTGGATGATAGTTCCCAAGATGTTTGAATGGGAAAAGCCCACCTAAAAATGACATAATCCATTATTTAGAATAAGATTATAATATAGGTAAAATGCATATGCCCTAAAAGAATGACATTAAGAAATGGAAGCCTTTAAAAAATTAAAATCTAATACTAAAAAGTGACAATGAATACACACCAAAAAAGAATATTACCTAATTAAAATTAGCTTCTGAATTGGTCCTAAAACAAAAAGTATATTTGTAGAATATGAAAGCATACTTCAGTTTCTTATTTCCTTCAACAACCCAAAGGCTATATACCTTAAATCAAGCCAAACACTATTACAAGGAAAAACAAATGACAAGATTCATCACAACTAAAGCAGAGAATACACCAGAAAAACAAATGAACTAGAAAAGTGAAGAATAAAAAGAAAAAGAAAAAGAAAAACAGAAATCATAAAAGAACAATACCAAATGAAAGTAGATAAAATGGGTTCCCAACCTTGCATTAGACCACCCAATTCTTGATGCATTTCGCTTTCATAATTCCGAAAAAAAGCAGAGCCTATAAAGTATAAACAATTGCTTCATAAACTCTGATCTATCTATATGGTGATGTACAAACAAAGTCCAAGACAGATATAGTTACAAACAATTACATAAGGGTAGAAGTGTTATGTCAGTTGAAGGATAATATAATAGTTAATGGATATTTTAACAAGTTCCATATCACGTTTGGCCAACTAGTTGCCAGTAAGAAACCTTACAAAATACCAACGAAGTTCCCAATCAATTTGCCATCCTTGGGAATGATATAAGATTATAAGGTATTTTCTCTCTTTGTCACTTTGTGAGGTCATATCCTAAATATGCTCATTTACAGCCTTTTATCCCACACAAAGTTGAGTTTAATATTAAACTCACAGTTTTAAATCTCGGCAGAGTCAACTCAGACTTGGTACCTTGCAGAGTTGAGTTCCTAGGTACAAACTCAGTTTATATAAAAAAAATTCGACTAAGTCAAAATTTTGATGTTTTTAATGATAACTTGTGAGTTTTTCTTATCATATGCTGTATTTATCTACTTCCCCCTTTTTCAGATTTTTCTGAATTGCTTCCAACTTTAAATCATTTTTTTCCAAATTCCCTCTTTTATATAATTTTCCATCTTTTTTTATTTTAATATTGTTATGGTCTACTTTTCTTTCTGCTTTTTTTTTATTTTTATTTTTTATTTTTTAGCCTTTATTGGGCTTGTACACTACTTGGGTAAATCCATTTGGACTCACCTGAGTTACTTGACTTAGCCAGGGCCCAAAAATCCCAAGCCCAAGCCAAGTAAAGAATCTTGATTAATATCATGAAATGATATCTTTTGCTCTGAATTGTCCTAGTCATGGCTCTCATGGACATGGACAAATAGTAACCTAATGCATTGCAATTCTATCATCAATTGATACATCTTATCAACATCAGTATTTAATGCATGATTCCTGCAAGATACGGGTTGCTTATTTTTATTTATAACTAAAATTGTGTAATATCTCATATGTCTAAACATGTAAAATATAGATTAAAATTACTTGTTTGTTAAACACTCAGAAAATTTTATATTACGGAAGGGGAAAGACACTACCTTGGAGGCCTGCTGGAATAAAAAACTCGTTTGCTCCATCCCACTTATCTAGAAACAAAAGAAAAATACCAAATATAATGCATATCAAATTAGGTAAAAATCATAAGCATACGTATATGCATTTCTAATTCTAGTATCGAGACTACAATTAAAGCACGACCTGTTACTTACCAAATTGATATCAGTGAACACAATCATACCCGATTTAGTCTTTCCAAACTTTATTTCATTATCATCAGATGACAGTATCTGACTTGGAGAAGGTAGAAACCAACCATCAATACGAGCAAAGTCACGCAGGCCCAACTGCTGAAACAATAAAGCCGAACCCTTTCGAATACAGTTAATCACATCTGATGGAAAACGAGGTGGGGTGTGATAAGCAACCTGAGAAAAGTTATGAAATTAGAATATTCTTGAATATTCCTGATATGAGCAAATGGATACACTAAATAATTTAGATTCTCCCTTCCCTTTGTCTAAAATATATTACAAATAGTGATTTCGCATCCCTACAGTGATTTCTGTATACATCATGCCGAAATCATTCCAGCTCAATTTTATGTCAAAAAATTGAATTAACAGAATGTCTCTTCAAATTTTTCAAAATACGGTTTCCCCTATATGATCGGAATTCTATGGTGAATGTCATATCCTTAAAGGAATACTAATTTGAGTGAATCTTACCTTTATTGGTTGTAGCAAGGATATGATCATAGATTCTACAGCTGAGATTACAATTATCATAGATTACATATCACCATTACATGGAATATATATATATATATATATATAAATAACGAATGATAATATACGAAAATGAAGGATAACATTTTTAATAAACTGTTTTGAATTTTTTCTCTCTTAGAAGCAAGGAAGCCATCATTATATTAAATCCAATTTAGCAAATTAGGATAGTGGGTAATGCCTTTTTTATTTTTATTTTTTCCCCTCTTCGTAGTCCAGTGCTAGAATTCAACATTGGGAGATAGGGTTGCAATGGTCAACACGTTAACCACTCAAGCCTAAGCCTAATCCTGATGAACAAGCTGTATAACAGGAAGAAAGGTATTGTATTGGGAAGAATTTCATGGTGGTGTAGAAATATTTGACTTCTCCCATTCCATTGTATACCAACGATAATTCCTGCTAATTGAGCATTTCATGATCATATTAAATAAATGTTTGAATGAACAGATTAAATACATGGTGATTGACAAGAAAGTCAATATCATTTTCAGGCACAAACAAAACTAAAGGAAGATGAAATTCGCTCAATAAGAAGTATTGAAGGGGTATAATTACTAAAAAAAACTAGGACTGCATCAAAGGAATGTGCTCTTAACAAGAGCTCAACATCACTCAAAAGCAAGATTTCATTGATTCTAATGGAAACCAAGATAATCACTTAAAGCAAAGATGGGATGACCATACCTGTAATGTTGGAAGATACTTCCTGCGATAATTGAAAATTGCATCCTCTTCAACATCAGAGTTCCCATAATATTGCAACTCAACCTGTTCTAAGAAAATTTTTAAGAAAGGCCGAACCTTCTTCACAGAAGAAACTCTTAAAAAACCCAACTGAAGCAAGTAATAAAATTGAACAATGGTCACCCACATACCATAACTTCATAAGATCATTCAATTAGTGATAAGTAATAGTTGCATTAGACTGAGAAAATGGAGTATGATAGAAGAACAGCATATGATATATGAAAGAAGTATACCACTTTCAACATGTATCTGCTACAAGAATAATAAAATAGAATGTATTAATGTAGAAATGAAAGGTTTCCTTGCAAGCAAGTTAAACCAACAAGAAAAAAACCTAATAATTTAGTATAATATAGTAATACTAAGAGCCAATAAACAACAAAAGTAATGAAATCTCAAACTCGAAGTGAAGGACATGTGCAACACAAAAAATTTATATAAAAAAAAGAATTCATATAAAAAGAAAAAACCGATCATAGAAAAAAGTAGGAAAGCACAACACTTAAGTAAAAGGCAATCTATGACCTCAGTAGGAAGGAGAGTCACTGGATTACAATCGGAACCAGGTCCCACATCAAGAACAATTGCCGTAAATTCAGTTCCTCCATCAATAAAAACCTCAACAAGGACTTTGTCATCTACACCCTGCAACATCCATAGGAAAAAAATTATACAAGATTGTTGTCAATGATAACAGATTTTTAGCTAGAAACTTCATTGAAATTTTAAGAGCAAATATTTATAAAATAAGACCTCTGAAATAAGAGCATTTGCTTTTGCAAGGGTATCATCAACACCATAAGCTACAGAGACCCCAATGCTTGATCCCGCACGTGCTGGCTTCACCTGCCACACAAGATATGAGAACACATCTATAATTATTATCGATATATATTGCATATATAACATTGTATCAATAGTTTCCTTCAAATGAAAAAAATAAATAACCAACATGCTCATACCACAACTTTTCCAACATTGATATCCAAAAGATTGCTCACAAACCACTCGGATAGCTTAACTCCATCCGTATCACTTCCCTGAACATTCAGATGCATAAGAATTAGACATGGGGAAGAAAACATATTGATATTAAAAATATATCAAGTTATATTTGCAACTCAAAAATAAAAATCAATATCGGTAATTTCCAACTAAGAGGTACATATTTTGTTCAGAACAATATTTACTTCTCAATAAATTTGAAGTAAATAGTGCCTTCCAATCATCACTACTGCCTTAAAATAAATATGGATCTTGTAGTGGATCAAGAAACGAGAATAGCAACATATTATTTTTCATGTCAACTAGCATCCACTAAACCATGTCTAGAACTCTAGATTCACAAATGTTGGTGGAAGCGGTGGGGTTGGGGGGAGCCGTAGGGCGGAGGATTGAGGAATCTTCACCATGTTAACAAATTAGGCTACACCATACAGATCTAAAAGCTCATTTATGGTGATACATGTACAAACTTCAACCCTAGTTTGATGGAACAAGATGATAATTTTGTTTTTTTTTTGGGGTGGTGGGGCTTTTATTTTTCTCTTTGAATGGTTATCTCCATCAAGAAGAGTATATGCCTACATCTCCAAAACAAACTTTATGCAAATTAGCAAGACTCGAATGAAAGATCCATGTGTATCCCAAATTCTAGCTTGTATATCGTTGTCATCATCATCACCATATGAGCCTTATCCCAACTAAAAATCTAGCATTTATATAACAACCAAAATTAGATTACGTAACTTTAAATTCCCAAGTCTCAGACAGACCTGTACTAGAAAGCTTGGTATGGTTAAAAATCCATGCCTTTTGAGCTCCACGGAGGCATTGTACTGTCAGCCATGCAATGGAAAAAAAAGAAATATCAGTTCTACATCCAGAAACAACTATAAAGCTACTTCAAATACATTCCAAATTTACAAATATCAATTAGAATCAAGATGTATGGCACAAGAAATTTCAACAACTAGGAATCTTATCATACAATAATCTTACATTAACATATCATTTTAACCAAGATATAAAAAATAAAATAAAACAAAAATATTTCACCTTGTCAAAAGCTTGACAGCATTCATTTGATCCTGTGCCAACAAATGGGATGCCTGCTTGCTCTAAAAGCTCCTAGAAAGATCAAAAGATGCAAAAACCGCACATAACTTGGTTAAAATGTGCGCACATGCACAGTGCACGCAAGCATTAAAATTCGTCTTACTGAAGACCTGAATGCCACCATCTTCTCCAAATCTACCGTGTATCACTGGAAAAACTATATCAACAGAAGCAGCAAGATGTTCTGTGAACTCCGATAAAGACTTGAAACTATGGGCAAGGCTGTAAACAAATTTAGGAATTTACCCATGTCAATTTCTATGGTTGAAAAAAAAAATTAAAGAACATGTACATGTTCACAGAAGTCACAGTAAATACATGCAAAGAAAGAGTGGACTGAACTAAACCCTAAGGGCTTACATATTGACAACATTATGAACAAAATGAAACCATATGCAGCATGGATGAGCACCATAGCACGCATACACGTGTGTGCATACATCCAGCATGGATGTTCTCTTAATAAAATATCTCCCTGCCTAATTGATTCTGAAGCTAACCGTACATGATTCATGATCTTTCTTCCTTCATTAGTTGTAAACGAATCAATTCCATATTCCTATATGCATGGCAAATGGAACCTCCTCTGCATGCTTCTTAAATAGGATCATTCATCTCTAGCTCACTAGTTTGTAGAAAAATAAAAATTTTTATGCTCTCTGTGCTTCTCAACATTCCATGAACCTTATTTCTGTTGGCCAAGAAACTACGACACCCATTGTGGTGTTCAAATTTTGCCTAACTATACGAAATTCACTACACCACATATTCAATTGAAGACAGTTTTTCAAGACTAGAAACCCATATTGTAATTCCACTCCTTATACCATAAGAAGGATAAAGAAAGAGAAACTGACCTTTCAAGTTTGAAGTCAAAATCAGCAGGAGTATTAGAGTATATCTGTGAAAACAATAGAAACAAATATTAGAAGAATTCAACAAGATGTCAAAAAAAAACAATATAACACATAATAGCAGTCCATTTTAAACCTTGGTCTTGTACAACCACTAGTAATTCAACTAAAATGATGTAATATAATGTGGAAAAGTATACCGTACATAATATTTGCATGGTGTGCATGGCTGCCCATCTCCTTGATGGATGCTTGAGATAAATATTTAAGACACACACCATACACAGTGTGGAAAAACATATTTTCCTATGTAAAGTAAGACAATCAATGAAAAATGAACCTGTGCTGAGGATATTGCATGCGCGTTCATGTTGCAATCCACATAGTAGCAGCTGACATGCAAATCATCTCCCTGGAGAACAAAAAAATTAAGAAATACATATTCCTACTTAAAAAGGTTAGAAGAAAAGTTTCTGCACAGTAAAGAAAATAAGAAGTTGCTGAAATTCTTAATGGTTTTGGCCTGCACTACCCTATGGTGTGCAACTTTGTATATTACAATATGAATTCAATGCCCATCTAATGCTCCGGAAAAGTCAGAGGTCATCTCACGTATACGTTCTGCATTCTCTAATATGTCAACAACATTGAGAAAAGGTTTGAATCACATTTAAGGAGTTTTCCGATAATATAAGTTTCTTTCATGGAATTTGATAGCGACAAGATAAAAGTAATTTTTGAATGCATTTTATCATGCATAACTCTGTGTATGAAAAAACATACAAGAGTTGGGCTCTTCACATTAATCCCACCCTCTCAACCTCTGGTTTCAAGTTCAAATCTCACAAGTCAGAACACAAAAGTGAAATCAAATCAAGTAAGAAAGAAGAATCAAAACATATCCAATGGGATAGAAACAAATTGTTAAAATCAAGTGATTTAAGCTCCAAAAACTTTTCCATCATCAGAATCACATATCACAATGGAATAAAAACAAATAAAAATAGGAAAAAAATCATCTGGGTTAGGAAATAAATAGTGGATTTCATATTATTCAAGCTCGAAATACGTTCCATCCACAATCAGACTTACATTCCATCTACACAAAGTAATAACAAATTTAAAAACATCAAATGGGTAAGGAAAGAAATATGATTTCACAGAACTTGAGCATGGAAAATGTTTAACGGTTAAACCAGTGATTCAAAAGTCGGCGAGTCGAACCAGACTCGTCCGATTCGACTCTAGAACCGGCAGACCCGATCCGGTTCCAGTGAAATACCGAAAATCGCCCGGTTTTAGAGAAGAACCGGCGATTCCATGCCGTAAATCGGCATGTGACGTCATGATTCTCCCGATTCTTCGATTCATGACATCATGGCCCGCCGATTCTTCAATAGGCATTTTTGTAAATTTTAAAAAGTATATGTGCCTCAAGGTTCGCATACATCATCACGTGACTCTCCTCACTTCGCACACGTTATCCTTATTAACTACAAAAAGGTATTTATTCACTACAACTTCCTTCTACCTCTTCGACGTGGGATAATGTGAAGGTACTAACTTGAAACATTAATATATTATATATTTTGTTTGCGCTTTTAATACTATTAAGTAGCATGTGGCTTACTAGTTATAACTTTCTTTCTCCAGGTGGAGGGCGTGGCGTGGGTTCCATTCTCCTTGGGACTGAAAGGGGATTTTTTTATTTTTTTCTTATAAATATTTTTCTTATCAATTTTATTTTTTTGAGGTCAAATCTTTTCTTATAAAAAAATGAAAGGCCTTTTTATCAATTTCGCTTTTTGTCAAAAAATTTTATTATCAAAAAAATGAAAGGTTTTTTTATCAATTTCTCATTTTGTCAAATTTTTTTCTTATCAATAAAATAAAAATTTTCTTATAAAAAAAATGAAAGGTTCTTATCAATTATTTTTCTTGTCAAATTTCTTTTTTTTGTCAAAAAAAAAAAAGTAATAAAAAGTTATTGTCAAAAATAAAAATTTCTTATAAAAAAATAATAATACAGCAAGTATTTTTGTCATAAGAAAAAAATGAAAGGTTTTTTTATCAATTTCGCTTTTTGTCAAATTTTTTTCTTATCAAAAAAATGAAAGATTTTTTTTATCAATTTTGCTTTTTGTCAAAAAATTTTCTTATCAATAAAATAAAAAGTTTCTTATAAAAAAAAAATGAAAGGTTCTTATCAATTATTTTTCTTGTCAAATTTCTTTTTTTTGTCAAAAAAATAAAAGGTTTTTGTCAAAAAAATAAAAAGTAATAAAAAGTTATTGTCAAAAAAAAAAGTTCTTATAAAAAAAAAATATACAAGAAGTATTTTTTGTCAAAAAAAAGGTTCTTGCTAAAAACAAAAAAAAAATGTAATACGACAAACATTTCTTGTAAAAAAAATAAAAGGTTTTTGTCAAAAAAACAAAAATGTTCTTATAAAAAAAGCATTCTTTACTGTAGTCCATATATGATTATTTACTTCATCCATGATAGTGCTATGAGTTTTATTTTGTTTGATGAAATTTAATGGTTAAAATAAGTTCATATAGAGAAAAAATATCTCAATATTCACGTATTGATGAAAAAAATGAAAATTAATAATATAGTACCCCATTTCTTATTGGATTCTTAAAAACAACATTTATAATAAATTTTAATATTTTTTTAATATTTTTTTTACAGCTTAATCAAACCGATTCTACTGATTCCCGATCCGAGTCGCCAATCTACCGATCCGTTTTTTAAACCACTGGTTTAACCATTGTCAATAGCAGATATACAACAAATAAGCTAAAGGAAACAGAATCAGAAGGAATTAACCCAATGGGTTAGGAAAAGCAGGTGGAATTCACCAAATTTAAACTGGAACTATGTACCCATATGGAGAATCACACATGCAAAAGTCAAAGGAAAAAAAATATTTTAGAAACAAGGTAAAGAGCCAAACCAGTTCAAGCATTTGAAAAAATTACCTGTATGTGATCAAGAACTGATCTTGCAGAATTAAGCGAAATCCCACGTTCGGCGGAGGGACCACCGCAGATGAGTCCGACTCTCAGTGGTCTCGCTTCTTCTCTCTCTTCCTCTGCTTTTAAACTCTCCAATACCTCAGCAGAAGCTCTTGTAGTAAAAACACTCCAGTTGTGTCTCTGCACACTGAAATTCCTCGAAATCTTCGGAATTGAGATAATGGGTTTTGTGAAAAAGGGCGAAACCAGTGAACCATTTGATTCACCGACTCCATTTCTGCAAGAAAATTTGCTGTGGAATTGAGCTAGAGCAGAGCTTGGAGATATAGTCATCAAAGCCTTGAGAGAGACTCCGTGAATCCCAGGAACGAAAACAAGAGATTATACAGGGAGAATTGTAGAGGAGAGAGTGAGGAAGACAAAGCAAAAAGATGAAACAGTGCGAAGTTTTAAATATGAAGAGCGAGAAAGAGAGCTTAAGCTGGATTGGGTATACGACAGTGCCATGTGGGGCCGAACAGAGAGAGATCAAATGTCACTTTCAAGAGGTGAACTCGGGGTTCGCAGGTGAACTCGGGTTCTCAGGTGAACTCGGGTGAACTCGGGGTTCGCAGTTTCTTGAGGAATAATTTTATATAGGGCCGAGGCTTTAAACAATCAAATTAGACCCTACATAAAAAAAAATTTATTAAAATAGATTGTTTTGAGACCTGAAATTGATCATCAAGGTACATGGACATGAAGAAAATGGATTTCAAATATCGAAAATAGCGCATCTTATAACATTTTTTTTAACCGTCAATTTTCAATATTTTTAAGTTTTTATAAATCTACTTGATCATTACTTGGTGTTTTAAAATTTAGTGATTTACCTAAATTGTTTATCTAGATGAAAACCAGCTAAGATCGAACCAATTCTAAGATAATATAGGTCACCACAATTCCCCCTTCTACCATACCGATAAAAGGTTTTGAAATAATAGTGCTAATATATAATTACAAAGAGGTGCCAACTGCGTATTTTAAAGATAGGGGCTAAAAACATGGACTGCCCTAGTGCATTGACTCTCCACTGGATTGACCCAAGGTCAATCAATCGGGCGACATGGATCAATCAAATCAACAATCTAGCAAAAAACTAAAAAATTTAAATAAACTCATCTTTTTTTTTTCATGGGTAAATATGTTTCCTACACTTTTATGATTATTCAAATTTTAAATTATCCAAATCATATAAGAAACATATTATTTGGTAGAGCGGAGATATTGGGACCAAGAGTCTCCCTTCTCAGAGAAAAATAGCCCAGACACGTCCAATCCCAATCTAGATCGATGATTTTTAAAACCATATTACAAATAAGGCATCAGATGGTAATGCATCATTCAATCGGCCATGCTCATGTAAGTAAATATGGTGAAGAGTCTCGGGTTTCTCTTAAGAGACTTAGTATCCATTAATTATATGAATATACGGATTTGTCTTTTATAGACAACTTGCCGATCATAAAATATATAAAAAAATCACATATTCATATACTATACCCAGACTTACCATATGTACAAGATATTGTATCTACCCTTCTCAAATATACAAATTAAAATTATACCCGACATATTAACGGGATATACAATATATATTTTTCTTTCACACTCCCCCTCAAACTTAAGATGCTATGAAATAGAGTAGCTGGAGTTTGAACACTAATTGCGGAAATGAGTAGGTGGAACTTCATGTGTATAGTATGATCAGTAGATGTAGTGGTTGACATGCTCAGATTGCTTGATTAACAAACACAGAAAGCAGCCGCTGATCAACAAACCTCAATAACATATAGCCTCAGTAACTGAGAGCCATATCGGAGTAGGCTCGATCAATCAGACAAAAAATCCAGAGAGAAAACAGATTAGAGGGTCTAAAACGACTCTGCAGAGAGACATATCTGAGAGTCGAAACACGACACAACATAAGTTACACCGACTGGGTGAGCAACAGACTCGTCTTGAAAATTGACAATAATGCTCTAGAGATGAGGAATGGAATGGCAAATATGAATATGGCTCTGATTTCATGTGAAGAGTCTCAGGTTTATCTGAAAAGACTCAATGTCCATTAATTGTATGAATATACATAGTTGTATTTTATAGATAAATTACATATCATAAAATATAGAAAGAAATCATAGATTTCTATACTATACCCAAACTTACCATAAATACAATATATTGTATCTACCCTTTCCAAATATATAGATTAAAATATTCACCTTCCATATTAACTGAATATACAATATATACTTTCGTTTCACAAATATATAGTTGAGCCTTAAAAATGGCTTATTTGCAACTCTAGTAAATATGCAGTACTTTTGGGGCTCTATATGCAAAACTAGATTTATATTGATATGGGATATGTTCTCGATCCTAGACCACTCAAAAACCGAAGCAGATGTATGAGTTGGCAAGATTCACCATATACTTTTTCGATCTCATTATTTGGAAAGTAACAGTATACAATGAGACCATTTACTTTTGGTGCAAGAAAGTCACAACTACTATTTTTTAGTCGATCGAATTAGGCGGTTGTACACTATTATTGACTAGACTTAAAATTCAAAAGAAAAACAAAAGGTTTCTCAATCTTTTTTATATACTCTAAGACATCCAATTTGACATCTAATGGCTAAGAGTAATTACGGTTCCCTTGTGACAAAGATAAATGATCTTGTCACATATATTCTTGAAACGGAGCAGTTTTTATAAGTTGCAATCTTGAACAATCAAATTAAGGTACACCACGAAACTTTATCATGAGATACAACCTTTTTGTCAAAAATTCTTAGGATGGTGCCGGAATATATTTTTATCTTTAATTATCAAATTTTAAACTTTAAAAGTCGTTCAAATCAAATAGATCTATAAACACATGAAACTCTTGTACATGAATGGTTCGAACAATATGTTGCAAGATGTATACTTCTTAGGACTTGAAATTCTTTTTTTTCTCCATATCAAAATGATCAATTAGATATATTTCTAACATCAAAACAACCCTTTTCAAAAGATTTTAGGGATACACCATAATTCTACATTTTTAAGATGTCAACCTTATATAAACTTCTTCCTACATAGAATGGAAAAATAATAACATATCAGCCAGAATTCACACAGCAATATTAATGGGTGCTTTGGCAGAATTCTAGGAGAGAGTGACCTCACCCAAGACTAAAAACAAGAACCGTTGTCTTTTGCTTGAAATGTTATATTAAAGGAATAGAATCAAACAAATGAAAAGAACACACCAATAGAGACAGGAGGTGAACAATGCTAAAACTAGGTAACTAGAGCCATGCCCAAAAAAATTGGCCAGGACTTGTATTTTCATTGTGGTGGACCATCCAATCATATGCTTAGATTCATATAAAAAAAAAAAGTATATAAAGTAGCAATCTTAATATGTATAATTAAAGATGCATATAAAAAATTTATCG